GAGTGTCTATTTTTTTAAATAAAACTTGCACATACATCATATGGCTGATCAAACCCAATATTCATCATGATGATTTGTGAAAGTTATTGCTAGGCAACCCTGCAAAGAAGTTTACAAGTCCGGGCTTCAAACCTGGGCTTGCTCTAGTTCATCCAGCCCTTGGTTCCTGTTTATCCAAAATACCCTTCCAACATTGGTTACAGCTGATACAAATGTTATTTTTTAAATTATTGATGTTTCTTTTCCATAGATATTTCTGACATGAAGAAACTTCTGTTGATTGATGCTGATTGTGGTGTTGATGATGCTCAAGCTATAATGATGGCTCTTGCCAATCCCAGTGTAGAAGTCCTGGGGATTACTTGCACTTATGGGAACAACCTGTTGGAAAATACATCTAGAAATGTGCTGCGTGTGTTGCAAGTTTGTAATAAGCTTGAGGTAATTGCCCCAACTGAACCATCCAACACAATTTGGCATAGCACTGTGTGTGGGACTCACAAAATCAGATATTGGCATGTGAGACGGGTGCTTATTTACTTATGTTTAAGATTCACTTTATGCATGAGAAGTGTGGCTGCATCACTGGTTTTCAAAAAGCGGTTGCTTGATTTTATAAAATGATATTGATGTGTCTGTTTTAACAATACATATGATTTCTTGTATGGGGTTACACTAACTTTATGGTTTGCAGTAGGAACTGTTACCACTATGATTTATCACTATGTGCGTTCATAGTTTTGATCTGAAGTGGAAACTTTAATTTTATTTATTTGCTTGGCTTCATACCAATCCATATAGGATTTTCCAGATTGAGGAAGAATACAATTATTACTTAGCAATAATACAGACACTTGTGCTGCTTTCTTTCATTCCCACTTGACCTTCCAAGCAACAGCATGGCAGAGTTGCCAAAAAAAAGCTACTACTTAACATAGGCCTGGGAGATGATGGAAGGAGAATGGAGGAAAGATGTGTTTTGGACCTCTGCAGCCATCAGCAAACACAATATGGCTGCCAAATGAAAGAAGATGTTTTCCCTTCAGAAGAAGTGGATGGTCCAAAAGAAGAGGGGGAGGGGGAAATGTAGGGAGACAAAGCACTCACAGGTCATTTTTATCTCCTTCTTTTTTTTTTTTTTTAACAAAGTAAGGTATTTTTATTTTGCTTCTCTCCACAGAGGTACAAATGTTTTTAAATGCGATAAAATAAGCAAAGATAAATCATATGAATCTGAGTTGCTTGAAATAGAAAAGTGGATGGTTGGACTCATAGAGCAATTCAATTATTTTATACTGTTATTTAATTTTAGGGAGATCAATAGTTCTTTAAAATTCATATTCTATTGACATCTTTTCATATATAGATTCCAGTTTATCCTGGTGCTCCTGCTCCTCTACTTGGTGGACCTGTTACAGGGGCACTGTTTCATGGTAAAGATGGATTGGGTGATGTTCCTGATCCAAATGCCCCAGGAACAGAACTTCTGCAGAAAGAAAATGCTGTGACTGCAATATTAAGAATAGTCAATGAGCGACCAGGTCAGGTGAGATGGTACAGGTACCCTAAATATTTATCATAAATGTGGAATAGAATAAGGCCTTGCTTCATCTTCCATGCTCCCAGGAATCTGAATTCCAGCAAAACATTTTTAATAGGGCTGCAAAAATCTGCATGGCCAGTACATGCAACATTTTTTTCTGTATCCCTTTTCTATCACAACTTGTGGCTGTCTAGAATTTGCAGCCCTATTAAAAATGTTTTGCTGGAATTCAGATTCCTGGGAGCATGGAAGATGAAGCAAGGCCTTATTCTATTCCACATTTATGATAAATATTTAGGGTACCTGTACCATCTCACCTGACCTGGTCGCTCATTGACTATTCTTAATATTGCAGTCACAGCATTTTCTTTCTGCAGAAGTTCTGTTCCTGGGGCATTTGGATCAGGAACATCACCCAATCCATCTTTACCATGAAACAGTGCCCCTGTAACAGGTCCACCAAGTAGAGGAGCAGGAGCACCAGGATAAACTGGAATCTATATATGAAAAGATGTCAATAGAATATGAATTTTAAAGAACTATTGATCTCCCTAAAATTAAATAACAGTATAAAATAATTGAATTGCTCTATGAGTCCAGCCATCCACTTTTCTATTTCAAGCAACTCAGATTCATATGATTTATCTTTGCTTATTTTATCGCATTTAAAAACATTTGTACCTCTGTGGAGAGAAGCAAAATAAAAATACCTTACTTTGTTAAAAAAAAAAAAAAAGAAGGAGATAAAAATGACCTGTGAGTGCTTTGTCTCCCTACATTTCCCCCTCCCCCTCTTCTTTTGGACCATCCACTTCTTCTGAAGGGAAAACATCTTCTTTCATTTGGCAGCCATATTGTGTTTGCTGATGGCTGCAGAGGTCCAAAACACATCTTTCCTCCATTCTCCTTCCATCATCTCCCAGGCCTATGTTAAGTAGTAGCTTTTTTTTGGCAACTCTGCCATGCTGTTGCTTGGAAGGTCAAGTGGGAATGAAAGAAAGCAGCACAAGTGTCTGTATTATTGCTAAGTAATAATTGTATTCTTCCTCAATCTGGAAAATCCTATATGGATTGGTATGAAGCCAAGCAAATAAATAAAATTAAAGTTTCCACTTCAGATCAAAACTATGAACGCACATAGTGATAAATCATAGTGGTAACAGTTCCTACTGCAAACCATAAAGTTAGTGTAACCCCATACAAGAAATCATATGTATTGTTAAAACAGACACATCAACATCTTTTTATAAAATCAAGCAACCGCTTTTTGAAAACCAGTGATGCAGCCACACTTCTCATGCATAAAGTGAATCTTAAACATAAGTAAATAAGCACCCGTCTCACATGCCAATATCTGATTTTGTGAGTCCCACACACAGTGCTATGCCAAATTGTGTTGGATGGTTCAGTTGGGGCAATTACCTCAAGCTTATTACAAACTTGCAACACACGCAGCACATTTCTAGATGTATTTTCCAACAGGTTGTTCCCATAAGTGCAAGTAATCCCCAGGACTTCTACACTGGGATTGGCAAGAGCCATCATTATAGCTTGAGCATCATCAACACCACAATCAGCATCAATCAACAGAAGTTTCTTCATGTCAGAAATATCTATGGAAAAGAAACATCAATAATTTAAAAAATAACATTTGTATCAGCTGTAACCAATGTTGGAAGGGTATTTTGGATAAATAGGAACCAAGGGCTGGATGAACTAGAGCAAGCCCAGGTTTGAAGCACGGGCTTGTAAACTTCTTTGCAGGGTTGCCTAGCAATAACTTTCACAAATCATCATGATGAATATTGGGTTTGATCAGCCATATGATGTATGTGCAAGTTTTATTTAAAAAAATAGACACTC